TCTTTCTTTCTTTCTTTCTTTCTTTCTTTCTTTCTTTCTTTCTTTCTTCTTTCTTTCTTTCTTTTTCTTTCTTTCCTCTTTCTCTTTACTTTCTCATTGCATTTGGACACACTACCATAACATTACTTATTTTATTAATTACTTAATATACACTAGATTGAGACTATTTTTTCAGTTTTCTATCACCAGGGACCATGAAGTACTTTGGCTTCAGAGAATGTTTATACAAAATGCATTAAGGAAGACAGAAGACTGAACTTAAACTTTGTTCCTTTTTAAAAAATAAACAAAGTCATCTCACTCCCTCAGTTCTGGCGCTCATGCATATGAAGTTTACAATCTCTATGCCATTCTATGCCATCTTTTCCATTATGGGAAGCCCTGGTAGGGAGGTTTCATTTCTTGGCCTCCTTTGCAGGGATACCAAAAGATGATGCTACAGTGCTTCCTGATTTACACAGACACATGACTGACATGAGCGCTTCCACAAGCCACTGAGACCCTCTGCCTACCTGATTAAACATGGGAATGAAGGGCTACATGAATTCATTTCGACTTAGTTGAAGCACGAATGCTCAAGAACTCTATAAATGTAACATTTTAAAAACAAAAAATCTTGACTTAGGAATAATACTTACATGAAAATCAATGCTTGCTCTTGTTCATACACTTCTGAATCTTATAACTCTTAAGAGAGATATAAACAGGCTACTTTGCTCCAGTTGTATTTTACTTAATATTACTGATTGCTTTCAGATTTGGAATACAGAACAATGCAATAGTAAGGATGTAATATACCACTTTATTAACTCAAAAAAGAAAAATATTTATGGAGAAAAGTTCATTCTGATGTAATTTTTATGATATATGGTTTGCATCATCTTTTTCTAAGCAGAAAATGACAATTCTTCAGGTTTCTTTGGGAATCCAAAACCTCTTTTGAGGCCAATTAGACATCACCTCTAAGATAAGTAAAAGCCTTTGATCTTTGGCATTATTAGAAAGTTACTACTCTTTAGGGTGAGATTCCTAAGGTTATCCGCTGTGTCTAGGTCATTCTATTCAGCTGCATAAGCAGTTCCTTTGATGGATGACTGGTTTTCTACAACGCTAGCATTATCTCAGCAGGAGAAGGTAGTGTTTGATGTGTTGCAATTTGTATTACATGTCCATGGAACATCTCTGGACATTACCTCAGGAGGAGGGGTTAAGAGAAGGAGGAGCTGTGGCTGAAGACATTTAATGACAGAATGAATGGAAATTCAAAGATTGCTGTGCAGTCAGCCTTAAACACTGGACTGCACACCCCCATCTTTCTTTCACATTAATTTAAAAAATCTTAAAATTCTCATAAATATATATAATTTTATTTAATTTTAGTCACAAATCAACATCTTCAAAATGACGAGGATTTTGACAGCTTGCAAAGTGGTGAAGACCCTGAGGACTGGTTTTGGCTTTACCAACGTGATTGCACACCATCAATGGAAATTTTCAAGACCTGGCACCAGGCTCCTTTCTGTCAAGGTAACATTCCCATATTTATTGTTTCTGATAAAATCATATGGGGTGTAGTTTAGCATGAAGCAAAGGTGTCACTTAGGAAGCAAATACAGATTTGCATGTGGTTCTGAGTGCTAATTTATTAAAACTGGCCTTAATATTGAGTCTACTGGGTTTCATAAATGTTCATTTTCAACTGTTCTGAGTAAAATTATGGCAATTTTCACCCAATGTCAAGAAGGGTCACAATTCCTATGAACATGTAAAATGTAAGTGTTCTGTTTAGGAAAAATTACTTTTAAAGGCTATCAGGGCTCTGTCCATGCCCAGTCACTACTGCACACAGTTAGGGTTCAAACACAAAGTTGCTTCCATGTTCATGAACCACAGCACAGAAGGTAATGTGTTAAGCTATGGTTTCCTGGCTCACTGTAATGTTTTCTCTTTTGAAATGTTATTTTTTAGGAAAAAAATTTGGAAGGAAAATATCTACATAATTCTGATATTTGCTAACCATGATATAGACCTTATCTTTACTTTTTTTCTTTTCCCTCTTAGCCCTTCCCTTGGGAGTCCATATTTATTATTTTTATTTTGCAGATTAAGACATTGAGGCAATTAGCTTCTGATAATTCTGTCCTTCTGAATGTATCTATAACTGAAAAACAGGTCTGGGAAGAGAACATGAAGTGTTCTTCCCCACCACTGGATTATGAAATTCCAGTAGGAGCTTCTGTTGCTTCCTATAACTTTATGAAGGCATTTATTACCAGAGAAGTCTGAAATTACTCCATGGAAACTTTGCCAATGAAAAACATTTTTAGCGAATATAAAGTTTAAATAATCACAGTAGCTTTAAATAGATTGCTTCTTTAGTAGTAAGAGCTATAAAAAGTGAAGTAGAAAAAAAAAAAAACAACCTCTATCTGTTGGTGTAAAAATATGTCCTAATAGTTTTGAGTGTTCTGCTAATACTTTGTATGCTCACTGGGTTGACTAAAAATCCTCCAAATGCTTCCACAGCTTCTGTTGCTTAGATTGCTCAAGTCAGGATTCAGTATGATATTTAGCCCCAAGTGACATCTGTAGGGCTAAGCAGTGCTGTTGATCTTTGTGGACTCCAGTGACAGGGTGGGGAAAAATAAGAGTAAAAGGAAAGGAAGAGAGAGGGAGACAGAAAGAGACAGAGGTGAGGAGTGAGGAGAGGGAAAGAGAGAGAGAGAGAGAGAAGGAGAGAGAAATAACACAAGATCTCAGGAGAAAGTATCAGAAACTACCATTTTAAATTAAGAAACCTAGGAACAACCATTTTCTTGGATTCAGTTTAATTGCAACAAGAGAGCCAGAAAGGAGATGTTCTAAACCATCATCAAAGATGCAGCGACTAGATACAAACTCTGAGAGTGAGTACTGGTTTTAGTTCAGTGTTAGTAATATCTCAAGGGTACTCATATATCACTCCAGAGGGAATAGATAGTAGTGAAAGTAATACCATTTACGGTGAGATGTGTCTTCTAAGACTGCAAAGTCCGTGTCCCTTGGAATATCTTTTTCTTCTTACAAAAATAGGTAGGCAGGGATAGGTGTACCTCCATCAGACACCAGAAATGGAGAAATTGAGTGACTACTTAAAATGGCATAGATATGACTGAGATTAGAAGCCAGTTCTCCATGATCATAATAAGTGCTCTATATGACCCCAATCACAACCACAACAAAATGATTTAATTATATGGATAGACTACAGTGAAAGTAGTTCTTCTAGCTCAGGGTGGTATATATGTTTTAAAGGTCTGCCAAAGTTCATAGACAAGAATGACAAATTTGTAGGAGGAATAAGCCATCATTTCATGATGTAAAAGTCATTACTCACACTCAATCATTACTGGCCAGAGTTCTGGAGGAAAGCCAGGCATGAAAAATAGAAGTTCTTGAACTTCACAATAGTGAATTAAAATTCTGTACAGCAGTCCAAGGGGGCTTGTGTTTTATTCACTTATTTTGGAACAGTCCTCTACCTACTTTTCTTCCTGCCTTCGCTTTTAAAATGCAACTCTCTTAAAAAGTTATATGCAAATTTCTTCTTTTTAGACGGACATCACCTAAAAAGCCTTAGGATGTGGTTATGTAATGGTCAGTGAAGGGCAGTGAGAGTAGTCATTGAAGATTAGTGGCACTGAAGATAGCCAGTAAATAGGTTGCAGAAGATACCCTGTGGGCAGATCTATAAGCATTGCCCTATAAATTAGTTGCTTTCTCAATGGCTTGGGAGGTCACTTTTCTTGTCCCATTGGTGACAGAGTGAGCTTGACGACAGCAGTGACACACTTGTACTTTTATGTGGCCCTTTCTTGTGTATTTATCTGTGGCCAATATTTACAAAGTGTACCTTGCCAATAGACACAGTTGTATTCCCCTTTAAGGAAGAGGAAAGAATTTCAAGGTACTCTACATCTGAAGGAATTAGATATCAAGGATATACATGATCAACAGCCATATGATATGGAAGTTTTAGAGACCTCAGTCTTTTTCTATTAGCATAGAAAATGTTCAGTACTCAATATCACTTTCCGCCTGTTGTAGCTGTGTAGTGGAAAACACACTGGATGGGGAATAAAAAGATTTGGAATGTAACCCCTCTTGTGCACTTATTAATGCTCTGAACTTGGTCAAGTCACATGTCCTCCTTGAGCCTCAATTTTGTCATCTGTAGTGTAGAAACAATTCTTGACTTAGTCTCAAAGGATTATGTGACTATCACATATAATCAGTGCTTAAAAATCTATAAAATATTGTTCAGATGCCTGAAATATAGGCGTCTGACTTTGGCTCAGGTTATGATCTCAGGGTCCTGGGATCGAGCCCCATCTCCAGCCTGTGTCTGGCTCCCAGCTCAGCAGGGAATCTGCTTTTCCTTTTCCCTATCATTCTGTCCCTCCCCCATTCATGCTGTCTCTCAAATAAATAAATAAAATCTTTAGAAAAAAATCTATAAAATACTGTGAAAGCAAACCCTGGATACTTAAGGTTTTATTTATTTATTTTAGGAGAGAAAGAGAGAGAGAGAGAGAGAGAGAGAGAGAGAGAGTGCAAGCAAGCAGGGGTAGGAGCAGAGGGGGAGGGAGAGGGAGAATCTGAAGCAGGCTCCACACTCAGCACGGAGCCCAACATGGTGCTCCGTCTCATGACCGCGAAATCATAACCTGAACAGAAACCAAGAGTTAGACATTTAACCGACTGAGCCACCCAGGCACTCCAAACCCTGGCTACTTAAAAACAAATTCTGTCCTATATATTTTAGTAGAAGGACTTAGTAGACCGATCAGAGTTTCTTCATGTTTTTCCTGGACTACAAATTATTACAATGACAAAATGTCTGATGAAAATTCTCAGATATATATAATGACTTTTTTTCACCTTTGCCTTAATCTTAAACATATCTCTAGGAAGATGTTGCTTATAGTAAATTAGACTCAAGAACTATGAAGCAAAGGATCTTTACTATTTTGAATTCAGTTCCAAAAGTCAGGATGTACATCTTAATATCCTTTTTTAAAGCTTCTATCCTGGGAGTATACAGGAAGAATCATAAGTGGAAATAAATGGGTAGTAAGTGGATAGTCTCTGATTTCAAGAAACATAAATTTAAGAATTCTGAATTCACAGGTCTTGGAAAGTCACCAAGACTAAATAGTTTTATTTTTACTTGCAAATGAATTTGGAAATCAAAGGTATTAAATTGAAAAGGTTAAGTTGCTTATGAATAGAAAAGGGTTCAATAGGTACTGCTTCTAACATTAATCCACTTGGTTTTCAAAATGGTGACTTGTGTTACAATTAAGCCAGGAAACTAACAGTCCAAGTATCCTTCTCTCTGGTACTTCAGATACAATTGAGCCCTAGGAGTCATTATTCCCTTTGAAAGGTTTTCATTTTGTAAGATTTTATATTCTATTTCCAACATAAAACTACCTATTTAGCTCAATCTTGAGGCGCTATTGTCATTTGATTAGAAATTGGCAACTACAAAAACTCCTACAATTAGAATCCTTTAGTTATATTGTAGTAGCTTTAAAGACATTCACAGGAAATAGAGTTCATTATTATATCGGAGCCTCTTTGTATATTTAGAGGTGGGGGTAGGGATAGGGTTATCATACACTCTCAAGAATAACTATTGTATTAGACCTTTACTACATATAGGTATGTTTTTAGGGCTGGATTTCATCCAAGATGATGCACATTTTTGAAAAAATAGATTGTTTCAATCCCAAATGAATGGTTGAATAATTAGTCTGGATGATTAGCATCTTTGTATATTTTGGGTGAATGATATTTCTTTCATTAGGAGGTAACCTGCCTTTTGAACATTTTTGTTTATGTACTCCACTTTTTATATTGCTCCCCCCACCCCTGCCTTTCTAAAGTACAGACTCATTTGTTGGTCATCAAGAGTGCCTTGTAATTTTGAGCTTCTTGCCATAAAACTGTTGAAAAGCGATAGTCAAACAGGGCCTAGATGAGGGTAGGGCAAGTGAGATACTAACAGTACACCATTGAAGGAGACCCTCACTAGCAGGGCCATGGTGTACCTCCTTCCATGTTGCCCGAAAGGCACTTCACTCACTTTATCTGAGTCCCCACCCTCTCTAGGAAGCTAAGAAATCTTAAGGGAAGTGCCTGTAGAAATGGCATGTGTCCTGGACTCCTGTTTCCTTCTCCAGCTGATGGAGATTTGAGTTTCCACCTGACCATGCTTAGCAGAATTACTGATCATGTAGAAGTGAATTTAGGTTCTACTCCTGTGGAAATCGAGAACATTCTTTTGCCCTCACATCTTCATTAAACCTTTTTCACATTTCTGACTCGTACCAAAGGCTGGGGTATAGTAGAGAGTTTTCAGTATCTCTTAAGCAATGGTCATGCCAGAGCCCACTTCAAGTTTTCCACAGTTTGCTATGCAAGACTGAATGTCCTTGATGGGACTAGCATTTTCTAGGGTATTTTTAGTGATTGAAGACTGG